TTGTGGCTTGGTTTGGGGATTTGTTGCTTTAATGCAAAGATCCAACTTTAGCAGCTTCAAGTTCAGGGCCAAGGTCAAATATACAGGTTGTATATAAAGACTTTTAACAGCTTGTCCCCTAGTTTTCTTGTGAGATTTCCTTATCCTATATATGCCCATGCAAGTGCTTGGATCTGTGGAACTGGCACTGTTACAAGTGCCACATAATACTTGATCCACATTTGTAAGAAATTGATATTTCAGATGGAACTCCCAAGCAGGTACCTTCACTCTACACTTTTGGAAGCCTGCTAAAAAACATCCATCAAATGTAGAATCTTGACATACATTTTAATTTACTCCCTGCCCCATTGTTGATCTTATTTATTTTTCATTGTTTTCAATAGTTGTTTCCTTTTTTTAAAGATGATTTTATGGTTTTACTCTTTTTGTAAACTGCTTTGAGGTTTTCTTGCAATCAAGTGGTGTATAGATCTTGTGAAATAAATAAAAATAAATATACACCCAGATTTAGGCAAGCCCTATCAGGACCCATGGACAGGTCCTGTAACCTCCAGTGGCTGCAGTTTTCTCTTGATTGTGGTTAATGGGTGGATGTTGTCTCAGCAAAGAGGTTGAGGTTGGCAAACCCTGCCCTGCAATTAGCCCTGCCTTTGCAGAGGAGCTGGCTGTGTTCTTTAAAGGGCTGTTGTCCACTTCCATAACTGCTAACATCTACAAGGCTGAAAGATGAAATGCTACTGGGGACTCATCCTAAGGGTTTGAGTCACAAACCCCACCTGAGCCCACTCACAAAGGGCCATCACAAACCCCACCTCAGCCCACTCACAAAGGGCCATCACAAACCCCACCTCAGCCCTCTCACCAAAGGGCCATCACAAACCCCACCTCAGCCCTCTCACAAAGGGCCATCACAAACCCCACCTGAGCCCTCTCACAAAGCAGCATCACAAAGCCCACCTCAGCCCTCTCACAAAGGGCCATCACAAACCCCACCTCAGCCCTCTCACAAAGGGCCATCACAAACCCCACCTCAGCCCTCTCACAAAGCAGCATCACAAAGCCCACCTCAGCCCACTCACAAAGGGCCATCACCAAACCCCACCTCAGCCCACTCACAAAGGGCCATCACAAACGCCACCTCAGCAGACTCACAAAGGGCCATCACAAACGCCACCTCAGCCCTCTCACAAGCCACCATCACAAACCCCACCTCAGCCCTCTCACAAAGCAGTATCACAAAAGCCCACCTCAGCCCACTCACAAAGGGCCATCACAAACCCCGCCTCAGCCCCACTCACAAAGGGCCATCACAAACTTATCTCAGCCCTGTCACAAAACGCCCTCACAAACCCCATAGTATATTGGGATTTGTGACAAAACTCCATCATCCCTAGTAATGCAAGGCCAGCTAACATATGGCTGCTTATTAAAAGTGTCCCACTGTAGGTTCCAGTTCCCCCCTGTATTAGGGCTCCGGTCACCTTGTGAGCAGAGTCTTATTTAGTCTTCTGTTTTAATCAGAAGGTATCTCTGCATTCTCCATAAACATCTTACCATTTTCATTCCAATTTGTTGTTTCTGTTCCAAGGCGAATCTAACTATGGTAGGAGATTACTGGATGACAAGGACAGGTTTCTCCAGCTCTCTGTTCTTTCCAATTGCATATTGTAAAGATGCAGAAGTCCTGGAAAACTATCAGCTTTCTCCAGAGGGGGAATATTTTGTAAAAAGTCCATTCTCTTGGGAGGAGTGGGTTTGTTGTTCAAGGCCTCCCAATCACCTTGACTGCACAACTGGGATTTGCTGGGATGTGGCTGAATCCCACCCAAGACTAACACTGGTTTAGAAGTCCTCTTTACTTTCCTCCCAATTTTCTTTCTTGGGTTGAGCCCAACTCTTTGCCTTGTCATTTCATTCAACTTCACTTCTGGCTTTCCCCAGTTCCTGCCATGGCTTTCATTTTCAGGTCAGGGTCATGGCTTTGAGCCCCTGCATTGCAGGATGTTGAACTAGATGACCCTCTCTTCCATTCTAGCTCTATGATTCTTTGATTCTGTTAACTTCATAATCCGTCCATTCCTGTGTAAGGTCTTCCTTGCCCTCTGCCTTCCACGCTCTACCCAGATATTAATCTTCTGGTGGTTTTAGGCCCCATCTGCACCATACATTTAAAGCAATATCATACCTACACAGTCATGTATTCCCCCTCTAAAATCCTGGGAACGGGATTTTATTAAGGGTGCTGAGATGTTAGTTCCTCTTCCTAGGGAACTCTGGAGCTTGCAGCTCTGTGAGGGGAACACAGCTATTAGATTTTGGGTGTATATTGACTGATCACAAAGTTTATTTGAGTCTGCTACTTTTATTTTATTTCCCCCCCCCCCCTATTTTGTTTTATGTTGCTGTTTGATCAGTCAGGATACACACACACACAGATGCACACACTCTTTTGTTTATTTCTATGGGACAGACAGCCACAGCAGCATAGAAAGCAGTAGGATAGGTAAGGCACAACTTCAAAGGGGAATGCTATTATTATAATCAGTTGGACAGGAAGAAATGACTGGATTGGATATAGAAGAAAGAAGAGGATGAGTCAAATATGAAACATGGATTGAATAATTGTTCCACCCCTGAGCTTTTGGAGAGCCAGTGTGGTGTAGTGGTTAAGAGCGGTAGTCTCGTAATATGGGGAACCAGGTTCGCGTCTCTGCTCCTCCACATACAGCTGCTGGGTGACCTTGGGCCAGTCACACTTCTTTGAGGTCTCTCAGCCCCACTCACCTCACAGAGTGTTTGTTGTGGGGGAGGAAGGGTAAGGAGAATGTTAGCCGCTTTGAGACTCCTTAAAGGGAGTGAAAGGCGGGATATCAAATCCAAACTCTTCTTCTTCTTCTTTTGCTGTAACCAGATAGTAATATTGGCTTGGCTAATTGGGCCACACAATACCTCACTCCACCAGCTCACTTGCCTTATGGATATGCTTTGCAGTATTCAAGCCTGGCGTGCTCTGGTCCATGGGGTCACGAAGAGTTGGACACGACTAAACGACAACAAATTCAAGCTTTTAGTTCCTTTAAGGCCAGAACTCTAAAGATGGAGATTCAAAGGGGGACAACATATCTCTCATGCAGTGAATGGGCTGGACACATTTTAGAGGATGTGTGCAATGACTGACATTCTGGGGGAAAGTAACTCAGGCCTCTTACCATGATGTTTCCACAAATACCACACAAGAAACTATTCGGCCTTAACAGAGATCAAAGAACAGGACTCTGCATTTCTGCCTTGTGGAATTTTCTGAAGGGATAAAGGAGCACCTAAGTTGCGCTTTCAAGACATCTGCAAGAAAAAGGTTTCTTACTTGAGCCAGACCCTGTTGACACAAGTGCTACCAAGAGCACAAAACACTTGGAGAAGTGTTCATAAGCTGCTGTTCCCCGCATCAACCTATTCAAATGAAACAGCTCAGGCTGACCTGTGTTATTCCTATGGCAGCCCGAGACACCACTGTCCTGATAACCTTAGGTGGGTTATCCCATGCTTTGTCTGGAGTTTGTCTGCCCCATTGTAAGACTCAGCTGCCAGCTCAATTGGCTGCTGTACGTGGAATGGGATTGAAGAGGCACCGTTTTGTTTTTGCTTTTTGCTTCAGGCAGCAAAATGTATTGGTCTGGCTCTGCATATTGACTGATAGCAAACTGTTCTTATTGGTAATAATGCAACTTTTCCTGCATTTGAAAGCCATTTACTCTTTTCCAACTTTCAGGCTGACGACTTATTCATGGGGCCAGTTCAGCCTTGTTTGGAATTTCTTCGCCATCATCGCAGGGTCATGGCTAAGACATCCCCCATCCATCTCACTCTTTCCATGATGACACTGTATATTGCTTTGTTTGATAAGGATCCTGTGAGCTTCATCTTCCTGCTCGCCCACCTCCACCTTGTTGCGCCCCAGACTGAGGGAGCAACTGCGTTATTTCTCCCATCTCATTTGTGCCCTAGAAAGATATGGAAATGTCATGGAGGAAGCCCATGTTGAGCTGTGTCCAGCTTAAAGTGCAGAGCACACTGGTATGTGTATGCAAAGGAATGAACTGGGGAAACTTAAAACTGTAGTGAAGCACATGTGCTGCTGTTCTGGAATATTTTGTTCTGGAATTATTCTAGTTCACCCAGAATTCAGGAAGAGTGGGATGTAGGAATGCTCTGGCACAAACCAGAAGAACAGCTGTACATAGCATTGACACTTTCTTAGTGGGAAGCAATGCACAAATCTAACAAACCTATAAAATGGAAAGTTGTAATAGGTGAAGTCATCTGGCCTCCCTAGGCTAACCATTTCTCTTTACCTGTCACCTGTTTCCATATGAAATGCGTCTTGCACTGAACTCCATAGGGGTATCTTCACCTACAACCTAGGTATATCTCTACTCCAGATTCTCAATATAGTGCATCTAACAAAATGGTTTTGAAAGTCCATATTCACTTTGACCTTGTCATACCACAGATATCCATGTCACCCAAACCTTAAATCATGACTCTCTAATTTCAAAATCCCCCTATTTCTTAGGATCACTCACTCCTTCATCCACGCTAAGCAATAGGTGGCAAAATACAATTTCTAATCAGGCATTTCCAATCCTCCCCTTTGCTTTACATCTTGCAGTACTTTCGTTTTAACTTGTGGTTTTTTCATTGCCATAACACCTAGATAAACCCCTTTTGCCATTCTTTAAATAGTGAATCAGTCGCAAGAGGTATTATTTGAAATAAAAATATCATTCTAGGCAAAACATTCATTTTTATCACTGAAATTTTGCCTAGCAATGACAATTTTAACTTTTCCCATCTTGGCATAATAATTCAAGACAGGGGTGCCAGATTACATCACAATCCAATGTTAAGTTTATATTGGGGTTATCTGGTGCACAGAGGGCATTTCAGCAAATCAGCTGCAAATAGGTAAGTTATTAGGTGAACAGCCTGGGAGGGAAAGTGTTCTGGGATTTAAAAGCTGTCTAAAAACAATATTCATCTGCTTTTCTTTTTTCATAGATTACGATGTCGATTTTCTGGATAATTCTCTTGGTGTCAATTTCTGGCACCAAGCATGCTGAGGTAAGAAAAGAATGTGACTAGGGTAGGGCTTGCCAATACAAAGGTCTGCAGTTTGAATCCCCGTGACAGGGTGAGCTCCCGTTGCTCGGTCCCTGCTCCTGCCAACCTAGCAGTTCAAAAGCATTTCTAAGTGCAAGTAGATAAATAGGTACCGCTCTGGTGGGAGGGTAAACGGCGTTTCTGTATGCTGCTCTGGTTTGCCAGAAGCGGCTTAGTCATGCTGGCTACGTGCCCGGAAGCTGGACGCCAGCTCCCTCAACCCGTAAAGCAAGTTGAGCGCCACAACCCCAGAGTCTTCCGTGACTGGACCTAACAGTCAGGGGTCCCTTTACCCTTTACCTTTAAAGGTAAAACATTTGCATTTATTGCTAAAATGTCTAAAAATGCCCCCCCCTTTCACTGGCAGAGGAAGAGGAGTGCAGGGGGAGCACACCACCCCCGGCAGCATGATCCTGGCAGGGTGCCATTGCAGCTGCCCCCGCGCTGGGCACCCCACCCCCACAGGCAGCACTTCCCGCCCCCAGGACACCCACCCCGCCCCGCCTTCTCTCTGCCCCCCGGTGCCAGAGCATGAAGCTCCACCATTGCCCCTTTTGTGGGTGGGGTCACAAGAGAGTGAGTGTGATGCAGTTAGCGTGTTAGGCCGGGGGAGACCAGGGCTATCAAATCCCTACTGAGAATATATTTGATGTCATTACAGGAGGAGTGCGAGAGCGACCTGGTGGAGCGAATGCCCGCCCTGGAAGGTCCGTTTTCAGCTCTCCATACCCTGCAGCTGACAAACACCTCATTTGTCAACTGCATAAACGATCCACCAGGACCTGCCAAGTTGGGCATGGAAAATGTGAAAAAAAGGCCAGAAAGAAAACCTGATTCAACTGGAAGCGGTAATTTATTTTTTTAATCCTCTATTGGGAGGGGTTGTCATGTGTTTCTTTGTTGATACTGAGCATTTTCATCGTATCACTTTATATTATATATTCAGACATTCAACCAGTAGACTTTAGTCCATTAGGGCAAGTGGGGAAGTGCCCTAAAAAGCTAAGCCTCTCCTTAGCCAGCCCCCATCTGCTCCTGCTCCTCCTTAGGCCCAGTGTTGCTGTTATGGACCTCAGCAGGAAGGAGGGTGAGGACAAAGCCAGAATTAGTTCACTCTGCCTGTCATTGGCTCTAATTCCCCACTACTGTTGACTCTCCCGTATTCTGCCCTACAAGTCCAATGGGCATCAGCCCCTCCCCTTGCATTCAATGCAATAAAATGAACCATAGATGCAAGTGTCATTTTATGACCTTATCCATTTCCTTTGGCTTAAGAATCACCTGGATGCTCCAAAAACTATTACAGGGGAAAGAATAGCAAGGTTGACAATCTTCCAGATTTTTAAAATGAGATATTTATATTTTGAAAACATTTTAATATATTTAATATATATTAATATATATTAATATATTTAATATATATAATATATTTATTTGAAATTTCAGGTAGTTCCAAAATGGTTGCAAGGGACCTGAAATTCCTCGACTCCTTGAAGACTTCTGACAAAGAGAATTTCCTCCCAGCTGTAATGAAGAGAAGTAGAGAGAAGTTGTGGACTTTCAGCCAGGTGGACTTTCAGCCAGCTTTCATAGAGCCAGCTGTATCATCTGCCTGCAAAGGCTTGTGCCAAGGAGTTGGATCCATGGAAGCGTACGACCGGGTGGCAAAGGTGGTGGCCCCAAAACATCAAGAACTCAGGAAAGAGGAAGGGCTGCTCACTCTACTGATGCAAAAGCTCAATACAGACAGAGACGAACTAAAGAAAGTAATTGACCGCCTCCGGGACCTGAACAATGAACTGGAATCACTTAATAACCGGAAGAAAGAGCTTGAAAACAACATTGAGGAAGGCTCTCAGAAGCTGGAAAGGGCTGAAAAGATGAGCTTGGGAGGAAAGGAGGATTGGGGCACGGAAGCAGCAAGCTATAATCTTTCCATTATCGAGGTGTCTGACTCCACTTACGTAAGGACTTTGGAGAATGCCATCCAGTTTGGAACCCTAGTCTTGCTTGAAAATATCGGCGAGGAAGAGTTGGGTGCCCTCTCAGAGCCAGTGCTGCTAATGGCAACTTTCAAACAGGAGGGTGTAGAGTACAGGAGACTGAGAGAGAACGTTATTGAGTACTCAAGCAATTTCAAGTTTTTACTCAATGGATTTCTCGTGGAATACTACTTGGAGGAGTCTGACCATGTCACCAAGGAGCCCCTGTCTCTGCTTATGTTGAAACAGGTAGATTTTATGGAAATTTGTATCTGCTTTCATTATCTGCCATATCTGTTGCAAGCTCAGTATTATGAACAGAGACTGAGAGAGAACGTTATTGAGTACTCAAGCAATGTCAAGTTTTTACTCAATGGATTTCAAGTGGAATACTACTTGGAGGAGTCTGACCACGTCACCAAGGAGCCCATGTCTCTGGTTATGTTGAAACAGGTAGATTTTATGGAAATTTGTATCTGTTTTCATTATCTACTGTATCCGTTGCAAGATCAGTATTATGAACAGAGACTGAGAGAGAATGTTCTTGAGTACTCAAGCAATTTCAAGTTTTTACTCAATGGATTTCAAGTGGAATACTACTTGGAGGAGTTTGATCAGGTCACCAAGGCGCCCCTGACAGCTCTTCAGCCAACCTGGATTCAGACCTCCGCAGAAACGGAGAAAATGGTGGTTCTCTTAGAAAAAGTAACCACTGAGGTTTCTGATGCCAAGGAACAGCTAGTGGGTGCAGATGAAAAGGAAGCCAATGAAGCGGCCGCCATTGCCCAGGGTATTCAGGTAATTGTGCTGTGCAGCCTGGTGCTCCCTCCCCATTCTCTACTATGACAGCTTACCTGAGAGTAAGCCCCATTGAACCCAAGAAGAGGCACACACAGGGCTGCACTGTCAGCACATGATGTGCCCTTCCACAGTTGCTTTTTAACTAAAGAGCCACAATTAAGAGGGGATGTTCACACATGATGTTACTTAGAGGGGTTTCAACCCCTTGCCCCCCCCCACTTCTGATCCGCCCATAGCTGTCAACTTTTCCCATTTCTTGCGAAGAATCCTATTCGAAATAAGGGAATTTCCCTCAAAAGAAAGGGAAACGTTGACAGCTGCCTCGCCAGGGTTGCTATTTACCCCAGAGCTAAAAGTAATATTGGGCTAAAAATGCCCTCCTTTTGTGGGGTCACAAGTGAGTGAGTGTGATGCAGTTGAGTGTTAGGCCAGGGGAGATCAGGGTTCAAATCCACACTGAGTTCTAAAACTCACTGGGTGACCATGTTCCCATTGCAGCAGGGGTGCATTTGACAGGTGGGGAACTGCCACCGAGAGGGCCCTCAATTAATACCAATCAAGGCACATCCAGTGGCAGCACCTGGAATAAGAAGCAAAGGGTGGTTCTTGGAAAGTTATTGTTTCACTGGACTGTTCATCCTGACTATGTGGTATATTTGATATGATTACAGGAGGAGTGCGAGGGAGACCTTGCCGAGGCAATGCCAGCCCTGGACTCTCCCCTTCTGGCTCTCCACACCCTGAACCTGGCAAATATCTCCTTTTTCAAACCCATGCCGGATCCGAATGGACCTGTCACGCTGGCCATGGAGAGCGTGAAAGAAGGGGTCAGGGCCGTTGAAGAGCACGACCGTGCCGCAAATGTGGTGGCACCCAAACATGAACAACTGAGAGAAGCTGAAGGGTTGCTCCCTCTGCGAATGAATGAAACTACACATTCTGGGGAAGAATAACTCAGACCTCTTACAATGATGTTTCCACAAATACCACACAAGAAACGATTCAGCCTTAACAGAGATCAAAGAACAGGACTCTGCATTTCTGCCTTGTAGAATTCTCTGAAGTAATAAAGGAGCACCATAAGTTGTGCTTTCAAGGCATCTGGAAGAAAAAGGTTTCTTACTTGGGGCAGACTCTGTTGACACAAGTGCCCCCTTCTTTCTTTTTACGTCACCCCCCCCCCCAATCTTCTCTTAGCAGAGGGCGGACGAGATGTAAAGTCGACGCCTGCCAATTTTTAATTTTAAAACCATTCTGGGGTGTAAAACTGTGTGATTGTTCTTGCTTAGGCGATCCTGAAGAAAAGAGCTTCTGGTTTTATTACTGGTCACGAGTGTGGGGTGAAAAAGAAAGACAGGCGGGTGTGCGGGGGGGGGGGAATGACAGCAGTGGCCACAAACATTTTAATCTCCTACCACGCTTAAATGCAAAGCCTGCAAGACCAGAAGCGTTTGTGGCTTGGTTTGGCGATTTTGTTGCTTTAATGCAAAGATCCAATTTAGCAGTTTCAAGTTCAGGGCCAAGGTCAAATATACAGGTTAGTATATAAAGCCTTTAACAGCTTGTCCCTAGTTTACTTGTGAGATTTCCTTATCCTATATATGCCCATGCAAGTGCTTGGATCTGTGGAACTGGCACTGTTACAAGTGCCACATAATACTTGATCCGCATTTGTAAGAAATAGATATTTTCAGATGGAACTCCCAAGCAGGTACCTTCACTCTACACTTTTTGGAGCCTGCTAAAAACATCCATAAATGTAGAATCTTGACATACATTTTAATTTCCTCCCTGCCCATTGTTGATCTTATTTATTTTTCGATGTTTTCAATAGTTGTTTCCTTTTTTTAGATGATTTTATGGTTTTACTCTTTTTGTAAACTGCTTTGAGGTTTTCTTGCAATCAAGTGGTGTATAGATCTTGTGAAATAAATAAAAATAAAAATACACCCAGATTTAGGCAAGCCCTATCAGGGCCATGGACAGGTCCTGTAACCTCCAGTGGCTGCAGTTTTCTCTTGATTGTGGTTAATGGGTGGATGTTGTCTCAGCAAAGAGGTTGAGGTTGGCAAACCCTGCCCTGCAATTAGCCCTGCCTTTGCGGAGGAGCTGGCTGTGTTCTTTAAAGGGCTGTTGTCCACTTCCATAACTGCTAACATCTACAAGGCTGAAAGATGAAATGCTACTGGGGACTCACCCTAAGGGTTTGAGTCACAAACCCCACCTGAGCCCACTCACAAAGGGCCATCACAAACGCCACCTCAGCAGACTCACAAAGGGCCATCACCAACCCCGCCTGAGCCCTCTCACAAAGGGCCATCACAAACCCCACCTCAGCCCACTCACAAAGGGCCATCACAAACCCCGCCTCAGCCCACTCACAAAGGGCCATCACAAACTTATCTCAGCCCTGTCACAAAGGGCCATCACAAACCCCACCTCGGCCCGCACACAAAGGGCCATCACAAACTTATCTCAGCCCTGTCACAAAACGCCCTCACAAACCCCATAGTATATTGGGATTTGTGACAAAACTCCATCATCCCTAGTAATGCAAGGCCAGCTAACATATGGCTGCTTATTAAAAGTGTCCCACTGTAGGTTCCAGTTCCCCACTGTATTAGGGCTCCGGTCACCTTGTGAGCAGAGTCTTATTTAGTCTTCTGTTTTAATCAGAAGGTATCTCTGCATTCTCCATAAACATCTTACCATTTTCATTCCAATGCGTTGTTTCTGTTCCACGGCAAATCTAACTATGGACAGGCTTCTCCAGCTCTCTGTTCTTTCCAATTGCATATTGTAAAGATGCAGAAGTCCTGGAAAACTATTAGCTTTCTCCAGAGGGGGAATATTTTGTGAAAAGGTCATTCTTTTAGGAGGACTGGGTTTGTTTTTCAAGGCCTCCCAATCACCTTGACTGCACAACCGGGATTTGCTGGGATGTGGCTGAATCCCACCCAAGACTAACGTTGGTCTAGAAGTCCTCTTTACTTTGCTCCCAGTTTTCTTTCTTGGGTTGAGCCCAACTCTTTGCCTTGGCATTTCATTCAACTTCGCTTCTGGCTTTCCCCAGTTCCTACCTTGGCTTTCATTTTTAGGTCAGGGTCATGGCTTTGAGCCCCTGCATTGCAGGATGTTGAACTAGATGACCCTCTCTTCCATTCTAGCTCTTTGATTCTTTGATTCTGTTAACTTCATAATCCGTCCATTCCTGTGTCAGGTCTTCCTTGCCCTCTGCCTTCCACTCTCTACCCCAGATATTAATCTTCTGGTGGTTTTAGGCCCCATCTGCACCATACTTTTAAAGCAATATCATACCTATTTACACGGTCATGAATTCCCCCTCTAAAATATTGGGAACTGGAGTTTATTAAGGGTGCTGAGAGGTTAGTTCCTCTTCCTAGGGAACTCTGGAGCTTGCAGCTCTGTGAGGGGAACACAGCTATTAGATTTTGGGCGTATATTGACGGATCACAAAGTTTATTTGAGTCTGCTACTTTTATTTTATTCCCCCCTATTTTGTTTTATGTTGCTGTTTGATCAGTCAGGATACACACACACACACACACACAAAGAGAGAGAGAGAGAGAGAGAGATGCACACACTCTTTTGTTCATTTTCTATGGGACAGACAGCCACAGCAGCATAGAAAGCAGTAGGATAGGTAAGGCACAACTTCAAAGGGGAAAGCTATTATTATAATCAGTAGGACAGGAAGAAATGACTGGATTGGATATAGAAGAAAGAAGAGGATGAGTCAAATATGAAACATGGATTGAATAATTGTTCCACCACTGAGCTTTTGGAGAGCCAGTGTGGTGTAGTGGTTAAGAGCGGTAGTCTCGTAATATGGGGAACCGTGTTCGCGTCTCTGTTCCTCCACATGCAGCTGCTGGGTGACCTTTGGCCAGTCACACTTCTTTGAGGTCTCTCAGCCCCACTCACCTCACAGAGTGTTTGTTGTGGGGGAGGAAGGGTCAGGAGAATATTAGCTGCTTTGAGACTCCTTAAAGGGAGTGAAAGGCGGGATATCAAATCCAAACTCTTCTTCTTCTTCTTTTGCTGTAACCAGATAGTAATATTGGCTTGGCTAATTAGGCCACACAATACCTCACTGCACCAGCTCACTTGCCTTATGGATATGCTTTGCAGTATTCAAGCCTGGCGTGCTCTGGTCCATGGGGTCACGAAGAGTCGGACACGACTAAACAACAACAAATTCAAGCTTTTAGTTCCTTTAAGGCCAGAACTCAAAAGATGGAAATTCAAAGGGGAACAACATATATCTCATGCAGTGAATGGGCTGGACACATTTTAGAGGATGTGTGCAATGACTGACATTCTGGGGGAAAGTAACTCAGGCCTCTTACAATGATGTTTCCACAAATACCACACAAGAAACTATTCGGCCTTAACAGAGATCAAAGAACAGGACTCTGCATTTCTGGTTTGTGGAATTCTCTGAAGGGATAAAGGAGCCCCTAAGTTGTGCTTTCAAGACATCTGCAAGAAAAAGGTTTCTTACTTGAGCCAGACCCTGTTGACACAAGTGCTACCAAGAGCACAAAACACTTGGAGAAGTGTTCATAAGCTGCTGTTCCCCACATTACCCTATTCAAATGAAGCAGCTCAGGCTGACCTGTGTTATTCCTATGGCAGCCCGAGACACCACTGTCCTGACAACCTTAGGTGGGTTATCCCATGCTTTGTCTGGAGTTTGTCTGCCCCATTGTAAGACTCAGCTGCCAGCTCAATTGGCTGCTGTACGTGGAATGGGACTGAAGAGGCACCGTTTTGTTTTTGCTTTTTGCTTCAGGCAGCAAAATGTATTGGTGTGGATCTGCATATTGACTGAAAGCAAACTGTTCTTATTGGTAATAATGCAACTTTTGCTGCATTTGAAAGCCATTTACTCTTTTCCAACTTTCAGGCTGATGACTTATTCATGGGGCCAGTTCAGCCTTGTTTGGAATTTCTTCGCCATCATTGCAGGGTCATGGCTAAGACATCCCCCATCCATCTCACTCTTTCCATGATGACACTGTATATTGCTTTGCTTGATAAGGATCCTGTGAGCTTCATCTTCCCGCTCGCCCACCTCCACCTTGTTGCGCCCTAAGACTGAGGGAGTAACTGCGTTAGTTCTCCCATCTCATTTGTGCCCTAGAAAGATATGGAAATGTCATGGAGGAAGCCCATGTTGAGCTGTGTCCAGCTTAAAGTGCAGAGCACACTGGTATGTGTATGCCAAGGAATGAACTGGGGAAACTTAAAACTGTAGTGAAGCACATGTGCTGCTGTTCTGGAATATTTTGTTCTGGAATTATTTTAGTTCACCCAGAATCCAGGAAGAGTGGGATGTAGGAATGCTCTAGCACAAACCAGAAGAACAGCTGTACATAGCATTGACACTTTCTTAGTGGCAAGCAATGCACAAATCTAACAAACCTATAAAATGGAAAGTTGTAATAGGTGAAGTCATCTGGCCTCCCTAGGCTAAGCATTTCTCTTTACCTGTCACCTGTTTCCATATGAAATGCGTCTTGCACTGAACTCCATAGGGGTATCTTCACCTGCAACCTAGGTTTATCTCTCCTCCAGATTCTCAATATAGTGCATCTAACAAAATGGTTTTGAAAGTCCATATTCACTTTGACCTTGTCATACCACAGATATCCATGTCACCCAAACCTTAAATCATGACTCTCTAATTTCAAAATCCCCCTATTTCTTAGGATCACTCACTCCTTCATCCACGCTAAGCAATAGGTGGCAAAATACAATTTCTAATCAGGCATTTCCAATCCTCCCCTTTGCTTTACATCTTGCAGTACTTTCGTTTTAACTTGTGGTTTTTTTCATTGCCATAACACCTAGATAAACCCCTTTTGCCATTCTTTAAATAGTGAATCAGTCGCAAGAGGTATTATTTGAAATAAAAATATCATTCTAGGCAAAACATTCATTTTTATCACTGAAATTTTGCCTAGCAATGACAATTTTAACTTTTCCCATCTTGGCATAATAATTGAAGACAGGGGTGCCAGATTACATCACAATCCAATGTTAAGTTTATATTGGGGTTATCTGGTGCACAGAGGACATTTCAGCAAACGAGCTGCAAATAGGTAAGTTGTTAGGTGAACAGCCTGGGCGGGAAAGTGTTCTGGGATTTAAAAGCTGTCTAAAAACAATGTTCATCCTCTGTTCTTTTTTCATAGATTACGATGTCGATTTTCTGGATAATTCTCTTGGTGTCAATTTCTGGCACCAAACATGCTGAGGTAAGAAAAAAATGTGACTAGGGTAGGGCTTGCCAATACGAAGGTCTGCAGTTTTAATGCCCGTGACAGGGTGAGCTCCCGTTGCTCGGTCCCTGCTCCTGCCAACCTAGCAGTTCAAAAGCATGTCTAAGTGCAAGTAGATAAATAGGTACCGCTCTGGTGGGAGGGTAAACGGCGTTTCTGTATGCTGCTCTGGTTTGCCAGAAGCGGCTTAGTCATGCTGGCTACGTGCCCGGAAGCTGGACGCCAGATCCCTCAACCAGTAAAGCGAGTTGAGCGCCCCAACCCCAGAGTCGTCTGCGACTGGACTTAACAGTCAGGGGTCCCTTAACCCTTTACCTTTAAAGGTAAAACATTTGCATTTATTGCTAAAACGGTCTAAAAATGCCCCCCCCTTTCACTGGCAGAGGAAGAGGAGTGCAGGGGGAGCACACCACCCCCGGCAGCATGATCCTGGCAGGGTGCCATTGCAGCTGCCCCCGCGCTGGGCACCCCACCCCCACAGGCAGCACTTCCCGCCCCCAGGACACACGCCCTGCCCCGCCTTCTCTCTGCCCCCCGGTACAGAGCATGAAGCTCCACCATTGCCCCTTTTGTGGGTGGGGTCACAAGAGAGTGAGTGTGATGCAGTTAGCGTGTTAGGCCGGGGGAGACCAGGGCTATCAAATCCCTACTGAGAATATATTTGATGTCATTACAGGAGGAGTGCGAGAGCGACCTGGTGGAGCGAATGCCCGCCCTGGAAGGTCCGTTTTCAGCTCTCCATACCCTGCAGCTGACAAACACCTCATTTGTCAACTGCATAAACGATCCACCAGGACCTGCCAAGTTGGGCATGGAAAATGTGAAAAAAAAGGCCAGAAAGAAAACCTGATTCAACTGGAAGCGGTAATTTATTTTTTAATCCTCTATTGGGAGGGGTTGTCATGTGTTTCTTTGTTGATACTGAGCATTTTC